CGGTGCGGTGCCGGGCGGGCCGGCCTCGGGGAGAGGGCGGGAGGTGGCCAGCATCCCCGCCGGGGGCTGGTCGGGGGCTTCTTCAGCGCCATTTCATCCTTTCCCAGTTGTTCTCACCGGCGCTGCTGCTGTGGTGGTGCAGCGGTGGGTCGGGTGGCTCGGTAGCAACTCAAAATAGTCGTCGGGGGCTCAAAGCAACCGTGGGTGGCAGCGAGCGGGGCTTTCTGGTGCTTGAGGGAGCGGGGAGGGGAGAGAACGGTGACCAAACCCAGTGGTTAAGGCTCCTGCCGCTAGGAGGGTCTAGCACTTGACTCGGTTTTCATCGTTCCTTCCTTTTATTCTTTCTTTCTTTCTTTCTTTCCCTCCTCGGTTTTCTTAAACATCGCCAAAGGGAAAACCAGGGTGTTTCTTAGTCCATTGGGCGATTGTTTACGGCCTTGATCCAACAACTTACTTTTAGACACGTGTCCAACTTTCCTATCCCGTCATGAGTCCCTGCAATTGCAAAGAGCTTCTGTTGCTTCTTCCAGTGGGAGAGTTCGCAACTTAGACACCAGCGTGCGGGCCGTGAGCGGGCAGATCCAAACAGCTCCGGCCAGTCCCTGCCTATCTACCTGGTCCGCTGCCGGCCAGCGCGAGCTACCGCTGGCTCCTGTGAGTTGCTACTCCTTCTTATGTGTCAGGCGAGCCGCGGAACAAGGCACAGGGTGATGCCATGGGATCAGGTCTGGACCAGGTCCTCTCCTGAATGAAAACTGAAACACGTCGTGCTGACAAAAATCTAAATCCATTACAAGTTTAACTCCAGTCTTCCCTCATTTAGCAAAGTCTCTACAACCCACTGTGGTCAAGAAAGTTTCTTCATTTCTAACAAACAGACTGGCTGCAGCTTCATCTTTGGGATTAGAGTGATTTCGAAGGATCATAAAATAACCAACTTCTTAGAGGACAGCTGATGCCTCTGCCTATGAATTTATGATGAAAGTTTAATTTGCTGGGCTGCACATGTAATTTATTACTCCTGCAAGAGCTACTGTAATGGATCTGTCTTAGATACTACTTTTTTTTTTTTTTTGCTGTTGTCGATTCTTCTTCTTCTTCTTTTTCCTTACCTTTTTAACTTGGAGAAATAAATGCAAAAGTTCACTGAAGATGTTCACTTTAATATCATTCCTTTCCAGACTCTATCGAATCTGAAGATTTGCCTTTGGAAAGCACTGAAATGACACAGGATCAGCTGCTGAACTATCAGTTGATGTTCCCCATAGGCCAGGACAAATCCATCCCCTGGAATGCCATCACCACATATGAAAACATGAAAGCAAAGAGAATATCTGAACTCAAGAAATGGAAAGAGCAGGTGGGTTTTCCTTGCAAACCTTTCAATGTGACCATTTCAGTAGATGCTGTTGATTCAGAATACAAAATGAAAATGTGCATGAAATTCTAGCAGCAGCACTGGGCTGTCAGTATTTTGGGTAGCTGGCAAACAGACTTTTGGAATGCCGTCATCGGATGCTGGAGGAACAGGCAAAGTGGCAGGAGCAACAGAAACGGGTGAGCATCAGGTGTGTCCTGCATGGACTCCGTGCAGAGGCTGAATCTTTCTCTGCATTTACTATCGGATTATAACATGGGCCCTTAATTGCCAGGATCCCATATTAAAATTTTGGACTCCTTTTGTGTTTTAGTGAAAAAATAAAAGGCGTTTGTCACTGGTCCACTGCTCAGTGAAATAAAAGGGAGTCCTTACATGCAGTTATTGGCGAAACACCGATGCAAACCAAAACACGTTGCTTTCAGATCACAAGGAAACACCGTTAAGTAGGTGCCTGTAGAAAGACAGAAAGCTCAGCTACTGAAGGAAGTTTTAACCTTCCACGCTGCAAAATCGCAGCGAGTAATGGGGCTGTAGGGTCTTTGCAGGCAGGTCCCTGCTCCACTTGAGGGCACCAGAGAACCGCAGTCAGACCCGTCCAGGCAGGCAGCGCTCCCCCAGCACGGAGCTGAATTCGAATTGAACACCACAGAAGCCCAGTTTCGTAATGGTCACGGACAAAATGGGGGGAAAAAAAAAAGGCAAAAACCTACTAACCACCACCCCACCCGAGGAAGTCTCCCTCCACATCCAGAACAGGACTTAATCACTGATTTAGTTTGAACTATTATACCGAAGTGCTGTTAGCTCCACTTCTGATTTTTAGGCTTCTGCTTTTCTCACCCGGAGCTGCATAGAAGCCCGTTGACTTGAGTAGGACCACTTATGTGAGGGGCTGACAGGGGGAGGTCTTGCAAAAGCAGAGGGTATGATTATTTTCACTCTAAAGTAAAAATATTTGTTCAGTCACTTGTCCTCCCCTTTAACTCATTTAAACACGTTGGGTGCTGTACACGCGCGGCAATTGTGACTTTGGAAAAGGGAGCAAGCAAATTGTGAAAACAGTGAATATTGCAAACAGTTCTTCCTCCCCAGTTCCAGGCAGTTTGGCTCTCACAGCCGCAGGGGTGCTGCTCTCTGTTCTGCTTTGGTGACAGCTCTGTCCCGTACAAAAGAGAACAAACATTCAGATGTTTGTTCTTGCACCGTCTATATATGTCTTGCACCTATTCTCCATACATCAACAGAGCACAGGGCCATGGCAACCCAGAAAACGTGGCTAGTCTCACGTACACCAGCCTCCTAACGTGCACCTCCCCATAATAGGAGAGATTGTACCCTCTGAGCAGTAATGTGTTTACTTAGTACAGGTTAAATTTCCTTGTGTGGCAATTTAAGGACTTAAATCCTCATGTTTCTGAGGACAGAAAATACCTCAAAGAATAAAAACAAAGGCCTAAATGCAACACCAGAGTTTTCTGGCTGTGCTCCTACTGAAACAAGTGCAAACTACATGCAGAGCAGCCTGATGCAGATTATATGACTAATAAGTATTTTCAGCTTTTTGCTACCTTTACACCGATCGCTTTTGGTTTAGCTGGTGTCTTTGTGATTTTGGTATTGACAACCTTTGCGTGGTATTCCTGCAGGGACCTTGCCAGAAGGAGCTCTACAGAGCCCTGTATAAATTGGCGAAGGCTCAGCAGAGAAGCGGAGGGGAGATTTACAAATTCTATTTGCCCAACTGCAACAAGAATGGATTTTACCACAGCAAACAGGTACGTGCCTTTTCCCCTGTCCGCTCGCAGCAGCGCTGCAATGAGCCTGACACAGCCAACCCTTTCATAGCCCTCTGCTCCCAAACGCACCAGTTTGCAGCTGCTGGAAAAGCAGGTTGCGAAAACAGGGATACTTAGTACTGGGAGCAGATGGTTTGTCCTTCTTCTCTTAAAAGTGAGCTGCATGCTGCGGGCTGACAGCAACAGAGGCAGGAGTCCTTTCCGTTCACAGAACAGGTGCACGCAAGGCCTTCTCCAAAATCTTTTAACCCTGTCTGCTCCCAGGCCAAATCAAGATCCGTGTACCTGATTTGTTAGCATATTCCCAGTTGACATTAATCCGTAATACACACCATACTGCCTGCAAAGCCCATGGAATATATATAATAATCACTATGAAGAAAGGGGGCTCTCAGCTCCTGGGCAGTGAAAAAACTCTCTGGAGCAAAATTAGCCTTCTGAAAGTAGAACAAAAACACTGATTTGTGCTGCCTACGGATTATGCTATATGCTCATTTCCATTACAGCCTCAAAAAAGGCCATTGCAAGGTACACTGAGAGTAATCTGCAAACCTAACTAAAGCTCCAAACCTCAAGCCACACCCTTGCCACCACAGGTGATGCACACAAATTTAGTAGGTCTGCATAAATCTGTGTCACCGAGACTCCTTGGTTTTGGGCATGGCACCACCGTGTGACTCACAAACATTGTGACCTGGGATCGAATCAGGCACAAATGGAAATCTGTTTAACCCCCTCCCCAAGAATAAACCCCACCCGATTTGCCTCCTTGCGTGGACAGCCAGACTGTCCAGGCGTTGCTCTCGCCCTACCAGTTCGTCTGTTCTGCCTTCCTTCGGTTTCCCACGCTGGAAGATATTGCTGGTTTATACCGCTGTTTGCCAACGAGTGGGCAAACCGTTTTCAGATCTGAAGTTGCTGTTGCGGTAGCTGAGCTGGGGTCGCGGCTCCCTGACCAAGTGTGTTGGCCAGAGCAGGGACCACCGCGTTCAGAACAAGTCTGTGCGCGGCAGGTCCCACCTTCTGATCCCAGTTCTGTCTGACACCGCTACTTGTACGGTCATCTCACAGGTCATCTTCTGCTTACAGTCACTTACAGTGAGTTCTGTTTTGCTAATAATATTCTAGTGTGAGACTTCACTGGATGGAGAGTCTGCTGGATGCTGGTGTGTCTATCCAAAAAATGGAAGAAGGATTCCTGGATCTCCAGAAATGAACGGAGACCCAGAATGCCAACAGTATCTCAGCTCACAAGAATAAAATGAACCACATTCAGCCACACCAAGTTTTCTGTGGGGCCTGATCTAGCCAGGAGACATTTCAGTCAGGAGCCGTTTCAGTAAGGTAGTTGTGTGCACCTGATTTTCAGCATATGAGTAATCCCATAAAGTAGCTTTTTTACTGCACTGGGCTGACTCAGCTGCTCGAGTGACAGATAGGAGCAACTGCAAGATCAAGTCCTACAATCTTGTATATTTTGTTTGTATAATAGTATAGATACCCTCATATGTAAAGCTGTTGAATTATTTATTTCACAGTACATGTATTTTTGTCTGTGTGTGTTGTTACTAATTTATATCCTCAAACACTTCATAACTTTATATGTAAATACTTAATATTATTGCTCTTAAATATATGCATCTTATGTTGGAGGAATGTTGCTACTTAAAATTTCAAATGGCACAACTCTATTGGGAAAAATGGCTTGTAAACTTGCATTTTTATACTATGTATTTATAGACTTAAAACTGAATTTAAAAAAATAGCTTTCAGCAGAGAACATGCTTAGAAACTTATTTAAAACCTGTTTTGTTTATATATCATGTTGCTTTTGCACCTCTGTTTCAATGTCAAGCTGTTTCTTAAAAAAGAAAGTCTAAACCTTGATTATATACTGAAGCTCCTGATGGGACAGAATTTGTTTCTGTTTTCCAAACATACGCACCAGATAAATGGCGAAACACAACAGGAGACTCTGTGCCACCTTTGACAGGTGTAAGCCGTTCACACGTTGACCTTGTCACGTTATTTAAGATGAGCTATTAAATAATGCCTTCTCCCCTGTCCCGCTCTCCTGCTTTCTGCGTGTGCCCGTTCAGCAGTCCGTCCGACCCCAGCGGGACCGCGCAGAGGAAAACGCGCCTCTTGCAAACCTGCCTCCCGAACCGCTCGCTCCATCTTCCCGCAATGAGTTTCCTTCTTTTGGTCTCCCCGCCCCGTTCCCCTTCTCCCGTCCTCTCCAGTCCCGGCCATGCTCTGCAAGCCTTTGCCCTGGGCAAAGCAGCAGCAGCCTTCAAGGGAAATTATTAAAAAGTTTTCTGGGTAGGAAAGCTGGATGCCTTTCTCCGCTCAAAAGCCCAAGGCAGCAGTATTAGTGTGTTAAAAAGATAATGTTGAGGCTACAAAGAGCCTTTTCCTGCACAGAAAGTCAGAGGCTGGGGAAAAACCCAGCCTTATGCTTTTTGCTGAAAGCAGAGAAGAGGGTCCCCTTGGCTTGAGATGTGGTCCCTCTCCCTCCCCGGCATGTTCCTTCGATTTAGTGGCTGCAGAGAAAAAAAAAGAGACAGCAAGTGGCTGCCCTGCTGGCTTCAAGCTGGTTTTGTCCATGGAGAAACTGGTGTGGGAGTTAGCAAGTCCCAGAGGTGGAAACAAGCTGCACCAACCCTGCCTGAGCAAACAGCCTGAGAGGAGAGTAATAACATTTTCTAAGAGCCTGGCAGGAGGGAAACTCGGCAGAAAATCCTCCTGCCGTTTGTTGGCACAAGCTTTGGGTTTTACATGGGAGCGGGAAGCGGCTGGGAGAAACTGCAAAGCCAAAGCGTGGAGATCTCTGCCCTCCGTATCATGGTCCTGTGGCATCGCACCTTGGGCTTGGTGGACGTGTTGGCTGTATTCACGTGTCAGTATGTCAGCTGCTCCGACCCGGGTCTAATAAACCGCTCCAGATTTAAAAGTATGGATGTACTACTGTGCTGCTTTGGAAGGTGCTTTGAGATCTTCCCAAGTAAAGCACTGCAAAAGCAGTTGATGGCATTGGTATTATAAATCATTAACGTCTGACCTCCCTGTAGTGAGCTACAGTGAGACCTGGCTAAAACTTACACTGACGCATTCACTCTGTCAAAATGCTTGGCAATCATTGTATCTAAATAATGAAGCAGCAGCAAATTCGGGCAGAACCTCAGAGTCCTTTCATGGAGTCTACCCAGCACTGTACAACTGTCATGCATCATTGCCAAAAGAAAATGGTGAAGAAAGGAGGGGAAACCATATACTCAGAGTTACAGCACGTGCTTAGGAGCGCTCTGACTGCTCTCACCTCATCGACCTTGTGTAAAGGTTGCTCTCTAAAGAGCAGAAATCAGTTCTTTTTGTTGGGATCATTATATATATAGGGGAAATGTTCATCACATTCATAATTATTAATAGCACAGTCTATTTGCAGTATTAGCAATCCAGCGGACAGCTACTTCCAATGTTTTGCAGGGTGGCGGGTTCCCATCCTAGCTGCAAGAAATGAACAGGGACGGGGTTTTAAGGGAACTCTTTCCTTTAAATGTTAAGTACCAGGAGCAGAAGTTGCTTCATACAGCATTCAGGCCAATTTCTTAGAGGGGTTTAGCTCCTTACCTCCCACTGAAAGCGACAGGGGATGGGTGCCTCCTTATCTGCAATCTGGCCTCGTGTGACATCTTGCCAGGACTCACCAGGACAGACTTCTGCTGAGCTGCTCTGGGATGGGCTGTCTGACTTGGGCCAGACTCTTCCGTATACTGGGATTAGGACTAATGCAAGGAGGCAAAGAAGGCGAATTTTATCTCCCCATCACAGTGCTGCCAGGAGCTTGGACTACATTTCGGCCATAGATGCCACGCGTTGTGTTTTGTCCTGATTTTTATGATCAGCCTCAGTAGCAGGGTGAAAAATCAAAGGTCCGTAGTTTTCCTTTGTTTTGGTTATTTTTTTCTGTTTGTGGGGCACTTTTTTTTTTTTTTTGGCATATGTCAGCTGGCAATCCTGGCTTCAGTGCGTGCCCGCTGCAGTGGTCCCAGCTGCACCAGCGGGCCAAGCCCGGTGGGAATGAGTGGGGAAACAGGGAAGGTGCCGCGGGATGCGCTCAGCAGCTCAGGTCACCTGGCGAGCAGCTGGATGTGTAAAGGGGATGTACTGTTCCTCGTTATTTCGGCTCCCTCCCTTTGTACCCTCTTGCACTCCTCCTACCCCACCTAAAAAAAAATAATTGCTGGGAAGGTCTTAGGTGAGCGTCTGTAATGTTTGGTTCACGTTATCTGAGAACCCTACCGACCCAGTTTGTGCGCCTGCCTGCCAAAACCCTGCCAGGTTTGCTGCAGCAGGGTTTGTTCCAGCCGTGCCTCCTCCTGCCCCTGGCCTACCGCCAACTGCAAAACGCTCATAGCACAGAAATGAGGTCACTGCCCTCTGCACTTTATTTTCTACCCTCCTTTTCCCCTAAAGCTGTCCAAGACAACCTTCAGTCACCTGGTGCTGGGCTCTGCTCATACCGAGTCAGCTCTGCTCATCGCTTTGGGGTACAGCGGAGACACATTCGTGTCGGCTAGGGTTGGCAGGAGGCGAGGGGGGAGAGAGAAGGAGAGAAAGAAAATGGGCGTGGAGGGCAGCCAACACTAATACTGAAAGCTCATCAGCATCTCTGTCACTCCTCTGCCGTAAGAACACATGCTCTGCAAAGGCAAAACTTAGGCAGGGAACAGCTTTCTACAGACCCAGCCCAGAACACGGTCAGATATGAAGCACGTCAAGATTCAGCCTTTTCCTTTCCAAAACCAATATATTCCTTTGACCTTGCACTTGCTAATGAAACTCCTAAACACATCACAAAATAAAAAAGCAAAGAGAAAATGCGTCACATATATAGCTTGCTTTCCTCAAGGGGAAGAAAAGCGGGATGGAAAAGAATGGCGCATGGCAGAGGCTTGTCACGGGATTTACTGCACTCCCGGAAAGTGCTCAGCTCCCATAGCATCAGACACTACGTGGAAGTCCCAACAAAATACTAAAACTGAGCAGGTTTTTTTGCAAAGTCAGAACCAAAGATGTTTGCGCTTTACCAGTAGTCTAGCAGCGCTGACTTTGCAGAATTAGAAACGTTATTTTTCTACCCACATCACTGCCTTGCTACTGCAGAACGCCAGCAATGTCTAATCCCTGTCCAACCCATGATCGGAATAATAAAAAAAAGTATCTGTAAAAAAAAAGGATCCAAGTGACCCATTCCAAGCTAGACTCTCAGCCCATGCTGCATGTCAAATGGACAAGTCCCATCTCTAGACAACACCTCTAAAGTGGGTTTACTTTTCCCCGGCTATCGCTTCACTGATAAACCGCCGGCCTAAACAGCCTCCCCAGGCTGCACCCATGACAGGTCCCAGGCTTCCTGTTTGCCGACACATTTTGTATTTATGGACCAATTATCTTATGCACTTGTCGTACGGTGCGTCGAGAATCGGGCAGGGATTCAGACCACACAGGGAGGTGGGGTGTGAGCATCTTAACAAACACCTAGTTGTATTTAGCACATTTGCCTTCTTTAGGGCTTGGGTAGATGGTAAATAGTGAGTAACAGCAGCAGAGCTGGGGCAAGCGAGGGCTCCTCTTGCTGACATGTCACCCTGTATTACCTGGTCACGTTTAGGTAAAGGTGGAAGGGGACAAAGGAGAGGAACTGCTGGGAGCACAGCCGGTCAGTTCTGAGTTACCAAAAAGTACCAAAACCACCAGCAGCGGAGCAGGAGCCCAGGCATACCTGCACTTGCACTCCGAGTGATGAAGCCAGTTCTGACAACAGCTCTGTCAACAGACAAGGGCTTTATTTTGTTTTCCTTCCTTTCCTCCTCCCTTGCCCTACCTCCTCCCCCAGGGTGCAAAGTTCAGCGCGAGTAAATCTGCTGCGAGGGTCCCAGGAGAGGCGTGGGAGCAAGAGTGCTGGTGGGTGCTGAAGCCTGGTCAGATGAACAAACCTAAACTTAGCCCGCTCCAGATCTTGGCTGCTTGGTTTTGCAAAAGTTTCTGCTCCAGGCTGTGCTGGATCATCACCTCCGAGGGGGAGCGTGGGTGGCCCCGCAGAGACGAGGGCACGCCGGGGAAGGCAGGCGTGCACGCGTGCTCGGCTCCTTGCTGCTCCCTCACAAACTTTTCCCAACTGGGCTGGGAAATTCATAAAATAGCCTAACATTCTGTTCATGAGATTAGACCGGCACGCGCGGTCTTCCTCCTGGTCG